AGGGATTGCCCTCCCACTGAACTCCTTTGGCGAAAACTCTTATTCCAATCTCATGAGACTTTCTTTGGTGACATGGATATTCAACTTTGGATCCTTCATAATTTTGATGGTTACTCTATTAAGAGAGGGAGTTGGAACATTGATTTCAGTGTTATGGTGGACCTTATTTGGAGACGCAGGAATGAATTAGTCTTCTTAGAAAAATGGGAGTTGAACTCCATCATTTTGACGAATAAGAGTAGATATGTTGAGGATATTGGCCATGCTAAAAGAGACCTTACGGGCATTTCAAGGTTTCAATGTAGGGAGATACTTACAGTCCCATCTCAATGGTCTCCTTGGGTTCGTGTTTATTGCGATGGAGCACATTCACACCGAACCAATAAGACTGCTTGTGGAGGCTTGCTTATTAATCATTCAGGCATGTATGCAGGGGGGTTTGCTCGTTCTCTAGAGGCCAATTCTGTTGTTCAGTCAGAACTTTGGGGCATATTTCATGGGTTAAGATTAGCTTTAGTTAAAGGATTTACTCACATTTATATCATATCAGACTCTTCCTAGACATTATCTATGATTAATGGGGGGAGTGAGTTTGGACAATCCGAACAGCTAGTGGATTCAATCAACTCCCTTTCTCAACAAACCCAAGAGACCAAGTGGGTTCTTATTAGTAGGGAAAGCAACACGGCTGCTGATTCTTTCGCAAAGTTTGGTCTTTCTCTTGAGGATGACATGTGTATTTTTGAATCTCTTTCGCTTTTTGTTGCAAATGCTCTCTATAATCTCACCCATTTGGGTGAAGATCATGTGTAATTTTCTCCTTTTGGGTTTGTAACCCCGTTTTATCATAAAAAAAAACTTATTAAAATTATTTTTGCCAATAAATTTTTTAACGTCAATCTTCATAAATGCCATAGCTTTGATACTAGTTTGTTATGGTAAAATCATATTTGACATAGAAATATAACTATAGGAAAGATAGTTGAGAATAAGAATAATTTTTATTATTAAAAAAATAACAAAATTACAAAGAAGTAAAATCATAATTAAATCTAAATAATTAAAAAATCTGAAAAGGTTAAAATCGTAACCATCAATTAGGAGGGCATCAATGTTTGATTGAAGTTGAAGTAAAAAAGAATGGTACAGGTGGTTGCTTAAGATGGAGGGTCCTTCTCGCTCAACACCCACCCAGTCTAGGGTCCGTTCAATTCACTAACAACACATGCATGTGGCAATGGCATCACTCACGTGACATCTGTTGACTTCGTCATTTTACCTTTATACCCTCACTACCACCGACACAACCTTCAGACATCATCGTCATTTAACAAAACAGTACCTACCCCCCAATCCACCACTGCCAATAATATTCTCCCGCGGAAACATTCTTCTCCGTCGGCCGGCACAATTTCCGCTCCATTTTCTTATCCTCCACCGCATCGGGTCGGGTCATCCAAACAGTTCCACGAGACACCTCCACACAACAGAGAGAGTAACTAAACCAGGTTGTTGGAGTTGTTCTGTCACAAACCGAACCTTATTCCAAACATAGCCATTGTCATTGTCATTGTCAGAACGAGAAGCCATTGCGTTTTACAAAGTCTACCAACAATGCCTTCGGTTAGGGATTGATTATATTACTCAGATCCAGGCCCCCAACCGTGTGCTGAAGTGCATTTCGCAATTTGCAATTTGAGTAAAAATAATAATAACAACAATGGGAGAAAAATCGGGTTCCAAAGGTTGTTGCGGTTGGTTTATCGCGTTTCTGGTTCTGGCTCTCGTCGTTGTTGCTGTTGTTATTGGCGTTAAGAAGAAATTTGGTCACTCCGGTTCCGATAAGCCTGCTCCGGTTCCCGGTCCCCCTGGCGCCGTTGATCAAAAATACTCCTCTGCACTCAAAACGGCATTGCAATTCTTCGACGTACAGAAATGTATTCATTCTTTCGTATTCTCTTACGTCTTTTTCCCTTTTCTTATTTCGCAATGTGCTTCTTATTAAGGCATTTGTTTATTATGTGGTGTGCTAGTGCTGTATATGATTAATCGAATATTCTATAGCTGTTTGTTAGTGTTGGTTAACAATGGTATTTGATCATGTATTGCAGCTGGTAAGTTAGTCGACAACAAAATAAGTTGGAGAGGGGATTCAGCTCTTAAGGATGGGAGCCAAGCGCAATTGGATCTGACGAAAGGAATGTACGATGCCGGGGATAACATGAAGTTTGGTTTTCCGATGGCTTTTACGGCCACCGTGTTATCGTGGGCCATTCTGGAATATGGAGATCAAATGGATCACGTTGGCCAGTTAGAGCAGGCACAGGATTCGCTCAAGTGGATCACTGATTATCTCATCAATGCACACCCTTCTGAGAATGTTCTTTATATTCAGGTTACAACTTTCACTTGCCGCTACCTTGATGTGCTAGTTAGCTAGCGTGCAACTCTGCATGCATAAATTTATTATCTTTTCTCTTCATACTGGGACATGGACACTCTGATGTGATGGCTACTCCCGGAATCTTGGGATGTTCTATGCGGTTAAGCTATAGGATTTGAGTTTTGATCCATTGACAATGCAAGAGATTTTACACAAACGGTGAATTATATGACGCCCCCTGTTTGAGAAACAATTAAATGCTTTAACTATGCTGATGCGGCATTTCCTTTCAGCGAAAAACTGTTACACCAAGGGTTAATTGGATTTCAAATCAAATCTATTTTGTTCTTCAGATTTGGTTTCCAATTTGTAAGGTTATTGGTATGTTTGTGATGTTAATCCTTTGGCAGTTGATGAAATTAAATAAGGGATTTTGTTCAGGGCAGGCAGGCTATTGATTTGAGATTTTCTAGATTCCATCTTTTTTATTCTTTGTTGTATGTGCACATGATGATTGAATAACTATGGTTACTCTTTTTCCTTTTTACGTTCGGCCACTTCAGCATTTTTCTTTTGGTGTATCAGGACTATTGAGCCTTTAACAACCTAGTTTTAGGTAAACCTTTTCTAACTTGTTTCATGTATTAAAATCATTGTGGCAGGTGGGTGACCCTGTTGCAGATCACAAGTGTTGGGAAAAACCAGAAGCCATGACTGATGCACGACCACTCATACAAGTGAATGCATCTTGTCCTGGATCAGATGTTGCAGCTGAAACTGCAGCAGCCATGGCCTCAGCATCTTTGGTCTTTAAAAGGACTGATTCTACATATTCAAGCACTCTCCTCAAGCATGCAAAACAATTGTTTACTTTTGCTAACAAGAATAGAGGATCTTATAGTGAGAATATACCCGAAGTTCAGACATATTATAACTCAACTGGATATGGTGATGAACTTTTATGGGCAGCTAGCTGGCTCTATCATGCTACAGGTGATGATTCTTACCTTGAGTTTGTGACTGGCCAAGATGGAGAAGACTATGCTCAATGGGGAAGCCCAACCTGGTTCAGTTGGGATAACAAGCTTGCCGGAGCTCAGGTATTAAGAAAATATGACAGATAGTACAAACTTGTGTTTGCATAAAAACTGAATAACATACTTCTCCAGTGATTTCCATCAAGTGTTTACTTTTTAACTTGTTATTCAACCAATACTGTTTGAACATGTCAAGTTTAATGTGAAGAGTCTTCATACTGCACATCAGAACTCATTAGAAAAAGCTCAATCTTTTTTCCACTTTCGAATTTGTGATTTTATTAACTGAGGACAATCATTAGTGCTATGATTGTTGCTACAGAGAATGGCTTTCCAGATTTTATTGCAACATACACATCACATAGAGAAGACAAAATGACCTATGGGCTTAAATTTCTGTCTTATGAACAGAGTTGAGCTAAATCAAGAGTCTTGTGGCATTCTTGTGTCCAGGATCATGCTTCTAGTTATATTACAAAGCTGATTTTCTATTCACGCATATTTCCATTAATAATTCTGCCTTGTTGGTGCAGGTTTTGTTAGCTAGATTAAGCTTTTTTAAGGCAAAGGACATTTCAAATTCGTATGGCTCTGGGCTCAGTAGTTACAGGAAAACTGCTGAGGCTGTAATGTGTGGTCTTCTTCCGGATTCTCCAACAGCCACAAAAAGCAGAACAGATAGTAATATTCTCCTTGAATGTTATATGATTGGATACCTACACCTATAATCTTATTTTTCTTTTCTGCCTGCCACATACCATTTTTCACATATTGACTTCTTGTTAGTTAAATTTAAGTTCCCAGTGCATGAATCTTCTACTTGAGGGGGTCTAAAAAGGGTCAAATGTTTGCATCCTTACCCCTCATGAGAAGCAAGGCTGTTTGCATGCTTAGATGTTAGAACCCATTATGCGTTTATGAGGGTGCAACTGTAATGGTTCCTCAAGGGTAAACTGCTACTCTGCTAGGAAATTTGAGAGCTTCTAATTAACTAAATTGAGTTATAGGCGGATATCAAATAATTGATTCCCCAAGGCTAAACTGCTACTCTGCTAGGAAATGTGAGAGTTTCTAAGTAACTAAATCGAATTATAGGCAGATATCAAATAATTGATACGTAGACTGTTTTTTGTTGCCTGTGATGTTGGACTTGAAAAATAACACGCTGAGTTCTGAATAAAGATAGCAATATGTTTTTTAGGCCAGATTTTGGGTACACACATGGGGTTTCCCCCCAACGCACCGAGGCTTCCTCCTTACAAGGAGTTTCCTTTATAAAGCACATAAAATAACAATTAGATCCCCTGTTGAAAGTCTATAACACTTTTGTAAACTATACCTGTTGTATATAACCTATAATTGCCTGATCCAAAATTATAAAAATAACTTCTTAAGTTAGATTTTGACCTATCAGTGCCTACTGGTACAGTAACAGCCTTGTCCTCAAGGCTGAAATAAAGAAACTGGTCCTTGCAGATCAACATTTGAATTTGGTTCCATCCATTCGACCCCTTTGAATTCTCCTTGTTCTCCTACATCATCATCATTCCCCAAATAAGCACTCTTAACTTTCAAGCCACCAATGAAGTGGCCCAATTTACATGTAAAATGACTTTTTCACCTCCTTTTAGCTTACTCTTGATAAGGTAAATGCTTAGTGCCACAGTTTTTAAATAACAGCTTTTGCGAATTACTTCAATGCCTAATGTTCACATGTGCAAAACTACCTCCCTTATGTTAATCTGTACTTGCTTCACTTGTGGCAAACCACAGCAGACAGGAAGTTGAGAATTTCAATTTTCCCCCGAAGGCCCGAACCCATTACCCAGCATTATACTATCACCATACAATTTATTCTCAATCCTTCTGTGGCTAAATGATTGGCTCCGGGCACAGTTTGTGGATCACATCATTTTATCCATTCATAAAATATCCTAAAGCCAACTGTTTTGGCATATGGGTTATTTGGGCCAATAACATTTCAAGTTGCTGCACAAACTCCTCTATAGATTTGGTTTGATGCAAGGCTGGTAATTCTTCATAAGGATTTTCAGTTCCACTACTAGAAAACCATTTCAGTAATTTTAATTTGAAAACCTCCCATATCATCTTTGGTAGACTCTTCTTTAAATATATAAACTTTTTGGATTACAATGGCGGCAACAAAGTTAGAATTTAGGACCTTGTGCAAATTGTTCAACCCTCCTACCACTTGGTCAATCCTAGTGGGTATCTGAAATATCTAAACTATTGTACAGCAGTCCCTTCCATCCAAATGAAGGCCATGGACACCATGAGCTTGGTCTAGCCTTTTGAAATTTCAAAAATAAAAATAAAAGCAGTCCTTGTCAGCCATTCATTGGACCTTGCCTATCAAAATTGGGTAATTCCACTTTCTGTACATCTTAAACATACCTGAATCCCCATCTTCAAGCCTGGATGAATGAGTGTTGAAATGCCCTGATCATGTGATTGACTAGTTCTAACTTGGTTAGGTGTTCATAAATTGACTCATGGCTTAACCAAATCCTTCAACAATGGTAGAATGGTATCCAAACTGTCTAGCCTTTCTCTCTTTTCTCCAAAATCTCAGTGAATGTCTTGGATTGCATCTCCAATTTTCCACATATAAATAATCCTTTGGGGGAGAATTGGATAATAGCATGCATTCATCTCCTTCACTTTCTTCTCCAATCTTTTCACTCTAGAGTCTATCCTCCTCCATGGCATCTGATATTTTGGACCAATTGTTGGACTCAAAAAATGAACACACTCATTTCTGTATAAAGATAGAAATAACTTACACAGTCCCCCCCCCCCCC